ATATTTATCTTCCCCCCCCGAACGAAAATATGAAAATCCGTCTCTGTCATGTAAACAGGAGAAGTGGAAAGGTCAGCTAAATGCATATGAATACATTCAATGCTTATAACTTCTTGCTTTTGTATGTACTATTTAAAACACTGTCAGTGGTGAAGCTGACATAGCAACCGGTCATGCTATGAAAGCTTTTATTGATTTGCATTATTCAAATACATGCAGGTTTATTGGCATGGCATAACCAGTTGCCATGGTAGCTAGCCTACCACTGAATACTGTACAAAATCATATTATATTATATAAACAATAATAATACTTGAATGAATCATTGGATATGTAGAATTTAATTAATTAATAATAATTCTATATATCGAAATATTAAGTCAGTTTTTGTCCCAATTATTATTTTAATGCAATAATGACACCTCAAGGCTACGCCTATTGCAAAACAACTGAACAATCTGCTGGTGCTTGATGGAGAGAATTTCAGCCCGGGAAATCGCAAATAATTTCAGCCCGGGCTAAAAAAACAACCGTTTAAATGGCTTTATTTTGCATGTTTGTTTCATCTTTATTAAATACATATAACCACAGTCTCACATAAGTCAAATAGTCGACTAATCAAAGTCTGATTGCTTCAAAGAAGCATAACAGGCTTATTGTCTTATTTCATGACACTCAAATTATCTCATGCAGCCTCAGCCCGGGTTGACTATAAATATAGCTCTGAGCGTCTGACTAAACAGTGCCCGGGCTCAAACTGCTCATGAATCGTGATGCAATTTCAGCTCGTTTAACCGGGCTGAAACTCAGACCGGGGTGATCGAAAACTCTCCATGTAATCAGCCCCTAAGATTGTACTCAGTCAGAACTGCAAAACTATATAATACAATTGTGAGCATTATCAAAAAATATAGTGTACTCTGAGACAGAGTACTTTAGTGACAGTCAGGTTAATATATAAATGTAGGCTGGTAGGATTATTTCATATTAAGCTATTAAACAATGGACATATCTCAGAAATATATTTTACAGACCGTCATACCTTTTACAAAAGTCGGTTGACAACTTGACATGTTATTTATACATGTAACTGCTGGTAAGTTAATATGTGCAGACAACAATCCACACTGGGTTGCTATAGGAATATCTTTGTACAAGTCAGACAATTTTACGATACTGTTCAATCGATATTGCCAAAATAACAATTACTGTGATTATTTATCCCTTAGAAGTACGATGTTTCATCAACCTACGATCAAGCTCAATCAGATTTTTCTTATAATACAAACTGATAAATATCGACGAAGTGACCAAGTCCACTTGTAGTGACTTGTTGACTTGTTTACTATGAAGCTTGTATGCACCTAAAAATGTAATAATTTAAATAGGCTACAGTTAATTCATTCGCTTCAAGTTTCAGCGCGTTTCGACCAAAACACATTGTTATTTGTGATCAAACTTTCATCTTACCTTGAAATTTGAAAAGTATTTCGAAATATTTCGATAAACAGCCAGAGTCCCATTTACTATTCGTACAGCAACGTGTTTACAAATTGTCATGGTCCACTACGGTGCTGTTCACCAGTTTCGACTAGTGTATTCGGAAAGTTAAATCGCTATCTGGAGTATGTTATATTTTTTAAACTTTCTGTGACGTCAAAAAACGTCATAAATCTGATCATCTTTCCGTATGTACAAACATCCCAAACTGACTTCTTGGCTGCATATAATTCGCGAACCGGAAACGGACTGATGAAGAATAGTGTGCTGCCTTCGGCAGCAAAAAACAATTATACCATTCGCTCACGTCGTATATGGCTGATAGCCGACTCGGTGCTACGCACCTCGTCGGCAGTCAGCTCATATACGACTCGAGCTCATGGTATAATTGTTAACGCCAGTGGTGAAAACAATATTTTACGAACGAGCGCAGCGAGTTAGTAAAATATTCAGTTGTTATTAGCCTAACACGAGAAGATAAAAGTCATATAGTCTTCAAGCCGCCGTGTAACGTTCTGTTTATTATATAGTCCCAAGCCAAAAATTGTATAAATACTAAAAGTCACGTGATCGATATCTTCACAAGTGAAGATATGGAAAATATCACACTGTGTATTTTTCAGTATCTCACTCTCTCTATATATAATATATACATACATACATATATATATATATATATATATATATATATATATATATATATATATATATATATATATATATATATATATATATATATATATATATATATATATATATATATATATATACCGGGTGGCGCAAAAAAAAGTATAACTGTTTGATTTAGTACAGCGAACAATCTATAAGGGTTACATCCCTGAAATAAACGTAGCTGTATTCATAATAGTCTAACTTAAATTTTGAGCTATAGCATGTTTATTTACGTGCAATATTGACTGGGATATCGCCAAATAAAAATTGGAACGAAGTTTTGAAAATCTGACAAATTGGCTAAAAATGGCCTATTAAACTGTTTTGATAAATTTTAGAATTTCGTCAGACATATTCGCTTGTATGAATTTAATTTGAATTGAAACGTGTAACGAATGATTTTCCTTATTTATTTATTTGTTTTATTATCATTTGAAAAGCAACAAAATTTCGAAAAAGATGGCTCTTTTAATTAAGAATTGCTTCGCAGTATTCCATGTCCCATAGCTACAGGGAATTAAATTAGATAAACAACCGAACAATTTGAGACAGCTTCGTGAAGCGATTATTGCTGATTGCCATAACTTTGACCAGCAAATAAATCCAACGTTAATTCGTTCGATAGTATGGTCACACGTGCAAGAATATAGTTATTTAATTTTCCATGATAAACGCGTTATTTACTGCCGTTGTGTTCTTCATATATCGTTAATTCCTTTACTCGTATTTAATAGGCTATTTTCAGCTAATTTTGGAACGTTTTGAAATTGCATATTCAAATTGATTTACCAATATCTTGGGTAATACTAAACAAAAATGCATGTGTTATACATCAAAATTTAAGTTAGACCTTCCTGGATAGGATAACATTTATTTGAGGAACGTAACACTTATAGTTTTTTCGCTGTACTAAATCAAACGCGTGAACTTTTTTTTGCGCCACCCGGTATATATATATATATATATATATATATATATATATATATATATATATATATATATATATATATATATATATATATATATATATATATGTAAAAGACAAACTTGAGTTACTTCGTTTAAAACATTTATTCACGACAAATTTGTTTCGTATGGCAAACTAAGCTTGCCACACTCATCAGGTGAATGATGATATCACGTTATCATCATATCAATATCATCATTCACCTGATGAGTGTGGCAAGCTTAGTTTGGCATACGAAACAAATTTGTCGTGAATAAATGTTTTAAACGAAGTAACTCAAGTTTGTCTTTCATTTGCTCTACCTTCGTATCGAGCACTCTATTCGTATGATTCGACACACAATATACTTATTGACATTCCGCCTATATATATATATATATATATATATATATATATATATATATATATATATATATATATATATATTGTCTATGTCTTAAAATTAAATATCGTTTTTTCACGTCCTTTCTAGACGATCATCAGGAGATTTTGTCACGATTTTGTTCTTACGTGATTGGATCATCAACCGTTCGATGGCAGTTTGTCTTGTTTGCTCGCGCGCTTTCGCATTTCCCTGCGCTGAATTTTTCTCAATGTCAACATTTCGCGAAGAACTCGGATCTTTTGTTTAATTTAAATTAATAGATTGGTTTTATAGTAGTTTTAGTAGTGCACATCAAAATAACTTGCGTAACGATCGCCTTCCGTCTATTAAGGCTAAAACTGAACGGTTTAGAAATAGTTTTATCCCATATGCAATTAGAACTTATTCGTAGTTTTAAATTAACTTTTTAATAATTTTATATTTTCTTATAGCTTATTTTGGATATGTATCTTAATTAACTTCATATAATGTAAAAACGTGTAATTCAATCCTTGATTGCAAACGTTTTATATTAAAAATCCAATCCAATCAAATCAATTATCTGACTTCATGATATATAATAATTTTTTCTCTTCTATGCACAAATTGCAACGCATACCGCCAGGTACGTGCGCTGCTGCTCGTTTTAAAATTGTCCACTTAATACTGTATTATCTTTCCTTGTCCTTCAAATCCCACATGTATTTGGAAAGTTCCGTGTCAGACGACAGACGAGTACGTATAGACTTATTTAAACGACTTTTTGTGGTTTCTGGAACCACAAAAAATCTTTCAGTAAGCCCATGTACTCGCCTGACACGGAACTTTCCAAATACGTGTTGGATTTGAACGACAAGAAAAGGGTATAAGTATTAGTTGATTAGTTTAATTTTGAATTAGAATACAGTCGAAATTTTCGAAACATCAAAGGTTTTTCAGGTAGTCGAGTCATGCACAGACGCCAATATATTTGTTTCATTTCTTGATAGACTAAAGAGAGCCATTGTCAAAAATGGAAGTTTGTGAAGGAAATCACGAGCGCGTGTTTCCTAATGTCCCCGTTCTGCATAGTGAGAGGTTCTCGAACAGTCTAATTAGTGAGCTTAAGCAAGTGACGTTTTTGGCAACACGAACGGCATGAGTAACGTCAGAAGACTGGGTGAAGGGTTGTGATTGGTGAAAAATGTCAACTTTACTTGCGGTCGACGTCCGTGTTGTCAAAAACGTCGCTTGCTTAAGCTCACTATTAAGTGATGGCAGACACCGCAAGTTTTAACGACATATAATTTCGCATGCACTTCATCTCTTGGCACATGCTCTAAAATCTTTGTTTATTAGTTTCCTAGATGTGGGCGTTTTTAATACCCCACCTTGTCAGTGGGCGAACGATTAATAATTATACAGCAATTGTACGTGATATACGCGACCACCTCTATTTTTTACATTTAGGCGCGACTCACGAATTTTATAACAATTATCGAATTTGGCAAGCTTTCTTCAGTTGTTGACACGTACACGTCTGATATTGAATTAGGGAGGGCGCCGAAATGTAAAAAACAACCATAATACTATCGACCTTATGGCGCGAGGTGGTCGTGTATGACATAAAACTGCTGTAAGTCCGCATTGATTACTAAGAATAATAAACTGGCACTGCTATTATGGTGTAGTGGTGTGGCTACTTCTAACTCGTTTATTGCGCAAAGTTCGAGCATACGTCTAGGAAACTAAAATAACTACTATCAATTGTCAGACACCTTTGACTTGTTTTTCCGTATCCACAACTGCATTTTCGAAACTATATGGGAAAATATGTCTGGTCAGTTCGACAGAGATAACTAAATGCATTAATTAAATGTATATGGCTGACGAACGAAATATTATGCTTTGTATATATGAATATATTACGAATGATGTAACTTTGCCACAATAGCCCACGAAATGATTTGGTTATTTCACCCCTTGTCATTGTAATTTTACTGTTAGTCTGAAGATGTCTTGACGTCAATTTCAATGTGTATATATATTTGTGCATGGCTCCATTTATGGAGGATATTAGACGGTTGCGATCATGAGATATATGGTTTTTATGTTCGAGTGGCAAAAATAATATCTCACGAATGAGCGCAGTCGGAACGAGTAAAATATTGTAGTTCAGTTTGACACGAGAACATAAATCCATATCTTCTTGCAACCGTTTAATGTTCGGTTTTTCAAAGTGACGGCAAAAATACACAGAAAGACGACATGTAAACAAGCACGCGAATTTTTGACCAGTGTGAAAGTGATATTTTTTAAAATTATAGTGCAAACATAAAACTAGAATAAATTTTACTTATCTCAAGATGTCTTTTAAATGTTTTCGTTTTATTTCTAACGTTAATTTCGTTTCAAATACGAATCAAAGACCATTTGTATTTTCAAAACAACAACAATGAAAATGGCGGGATGTCACTAGCAGGGGTGAAATACTGAAAATACGCGCACCTGCTCCCGTATGTAGTGACTAGTGACGTATGAGCTCTACGAGTTTTTTTAGTTTCCAGTAAAACAGCATTGTCCATATGATAAAAAGCATTATGCTGGGGTTTTTTTTTCATCATAAGAATACCAGCGTTCTTTGTCATTATATGACTTATATGTATCGGAATAGATTTCAAATTGTCATTAGTTCATATTTGTGCGGATATCTATTGTTCTCAATAGGGTTTTATTTGGGTAAGAATCTAAAAGCAAGGGGAGGGATTTGATATCTCCACAGGGAAAAGCGGGGTTGATGAATAGAATTGAATGCCTAATTAAAAATGCAAGGTATCTAGCTCCATAGTGACCCCTTTTGGAGGTCACTATGGAGTTAGATACCTTGAATTTTTAACCAAACTCAAACCCCACATCTCCTTTTCGACTAGAAAACGGTGCACGTCTCTGAGCCGAGAAAGAGACAACAGCCGTGTACCTCAAAGCCCGTCAAACTCTACCTTTGGGTAGAATATTTATCATTCGGTGCACGAGGACTAGCTGAACCGACCATCAAACTTGCTTGTGCAAGGAATTTATACAGTAATATCTGCTCTTTCGCTTGTGGGACGCGAAATGATATACTACGCATGCTCAACCACATTAAAGCGTGTTTAATGCGCATGCATGTTCAACCTTATTTCGTCCCACAACCTCCCAAGGACAATAGAAAATGGTCGGTCTTTCATTGAAATTCAAGCCTCGGTGCTGCACGCCTCGGTCTTGAATTTCAATGAAAGACCTCCCATTTGGTTTTTATCCTGCAAATAAAACCCTGTTGAGAACAACTTGAGAATCTCTGCTTCGACAAACCCGTACAAATCTTCGTTAGCTCTTCTCGGTTGTATGAGCTATTTCAAACATATTTCATCGTAATTGTGGTTGGTGAACGAATATTTAATCACTTCTCATTGATAGTATACTGTAGTGCGACACGAGAATTGATGCATATCAAAATAGCCCTGTTTGTTTTTATTACAACCATGGTAATTCAAACTCATTTAAAGAACAATACATATCATAAAGTAAATTTCATTGTGGGTCAATCCTTACAAATATGAACTAAGTTAGTTAGATACCTCAAACGTCGGCTCTTAGTCAGATAAATCCCTTGGGGCCTACGGCCCTTCGGGTTTGTATCTGACTAAGAGCCTCCGTTTTCGGTATCTAACTCTTACTTATTAATTAATAGTTTACAAAGCATTATATGCCGTTGAACCGGACTACATTAGGCTATTGATCTTATCGCGATTGATCCTCCATCATGTTATAATATTAATAATAGCCGGAGAGGTGAAGATTTAACTCCCACTATTGCTATCTTTACCATATTAACCAATCAGATGCATATATATACACCTGTAATCTGTATGTCCTTGTCAGGCAGTATATAAGCTCTGTATAATAATTATAGGTCTTTGTACATATAATCATGACCCATGACTACTATAAGCTGAGTAAGTGTACTTAATTTAAGTTAATTTATTTAATTCGCCTTGTAGGCTACATATTATTACATTACATAGTTGCAGGGAATCCGCAACAGCGAACATGCAGTAATTGCCAACAACTGCGGGCCCGAATAAATAACTAATTACTGCAACAATACACATATTAAACAACAATAGGAACAGTACTAACAGTTCCTACACACAGCACGATACTGATATTTAAGACGATTGCGACCATATACGTATGCATGATATCTATAAGCAAGGTCATAAATGGTGAAACAGACGACCGTGTTTTATGTATACATGTATCCCACATACCTTGACTGAACTTTCTGGTTTAATTATTTCTTAATATTATTGTCTTTTGGAATGCAGAATATATGTACATAGTTGCGATATATGTCCAAATAATCTATGGAATAATTACCATCGAAAATTACTTCATTAATTAATAGAGGATCGGAGCTAAACAGATAGTGGGGCTTCACCATAAGGGATAAACAGGGGGAGGGGTTCCGCCGGGGATATCCTGCGCTTCTTGAGGCTAATTATATTAGGGGGGACTGCAGGGGGCGGCTTAATCGGGGATATTCGGTAGTCTGTTTAGGTCTGGGTGCTCGAAGTGCAATTTCCTGTGGAGCAAAGTTCTCATTTCAATATTCATGTGGGCGGAATAAAGCTGCTTTCAATTCGTTGACGTTCAGACGTGACCTACTCTCAGATAATCAAATCAACGTCGAAAAGTGTATTTAATATCTTATATCATTAAAATAGTCCGTCGCTTTGACATGTGTTTATTAAATCACAGTCCAGAGTGTCGCGAGTTACAGTCCTGATGTATCGTGAGCACGTATTTTTGTTTTTGATTGTGGTGATTGGGTTATATGAAAGCCTTGAACTCAATATCTCGGGATGTGTCAAAGACTGTACTGATCAGGTATTTATTACTTCATTTATGTGTCTTACTACTGTAGGGTACCTGCAAAGTAGGGATTGCTGCGGGCATTAAAAGCAAATAGAACTACAGTAAATATAGCACAAATGATATATCAAGCACAGTTATTACTCGCAGCGACTAGTGAGCTGTTAAGGTCTTAAGTAAGGAATCGATTCTTACCATGGGTGAAACTGAGAAACATAAGTCCGCTGTGGCGGACATGCATCTACTGAATAGAATAGTAGCACTGGGAAATAAAAAAGGCATTGAGCAAATAAAAGCATAGATGTGCACTCTGACCGTTGGTATCTATTTCTGGTATTTCCAGAGTCATAGCACAAGCACAACGTGACAAACACCGCATTGTTGACGTTTAAAAATTGCATTTCCGGTTTGGTTGCTAGTTTGAAGATACAATCTCGAAAATATAAACACTCCACATAGTAGTTATTGATAATGATT